AATGGAAGGTATGTAAGAATTTAGGAGGAAAAAGGTTGGAAATTAAAAGAACCTTGAGACCACTCTGTGTTACAAGCAGTGGCACCGACGATTAGTGTTTATAACTTCGGAGAGGTGAGGCATGATCTCGGCCATTTGCCTCGCAAGCAAAACCACCTATGACCTTACCCCTGCTAACATGGTTTGCGGTTCTCCTGAAGTCTTAAAAAAAGCTCTGGAATTTAATTTTAGATTTCAAGTAATATATCAAACACGAAAGACTGTGTTTGACCAGATTTCCAAACACCGAGATGTTTCCAAACACCGAGATCAATTTGTTCCATTGTCGTTGTGTCTCTTAAAATGCACTTAATATCGAGGGGAGCTTTCTTTAATTGCTATTGACCGTAAACCTTTCAAAACAGAGTTAAGACAAAGTAAACTTGCTATGAAGTCTCCTTTCAGTCTTTGGTGTTTCAATACTCTTTGAAATTATACTAGCTTCTCAGATTTTTTGTCCACAAACCAGCACAAACTGTGTATGTAACAAAATTGCATCATTGGTTACTGAAACTTCTTTTTCACATATATAGTTGCTTTTAAAGAAGGCCAACTTAGTGACCTTGAACTAGATGAGCTGGCAGGAAAGATTGCTGCAAAGTGGGAGACGCTGGGACTTCACCTTGGAATTAGTCAGAATGTAGTGGAAGAAATAGCCACTAATGCAAAAGATAAACCACGTGCGATGTTATTTCGTTGGAGAAATACATCATCCTCTTGTACACCTTATGAAGACCTCTACCACGCCTTATGTCATGTCCGAGTTGGTCTTGATAAAGTGGCCAAAGAATTTTGTTGTAAGGAAATAAACCACATATATTTTCTTACAGTATATTGACTACTTGAACTGGGCCACTTGGAAGAAAACTGGCTAATCAAATTGTTTATTGAGAACATTGACGGTAATGTTTTTGTAAACAAAACAGAGTCATTGATAGTATTAAAAATAGTAAAATTATATAAATCAAGGAAAGGCAAGCAGAGGTCTGTTTT